ACTACTAGTTTTAACGCGAATAAACATGACTGAACATCTCATGCCTCATGTAATTGCTCAATCAGTGTTTCAACCGCGGAAAGACATCAACAATACAGCGTGGAAATAAAACACAGCTCGTTAGTTCACTAGAGAAATTAAGTGTAGAGAGGAGCATATTGTGAAATATTACACCATATACTCTATATTATATTTTACTAAACCTGTTAGTCTTAATTACTTAATGTACAGTATGTTTAAATTAATCTGTTATGAAACATGTTATATTTTAACAAATAACTTAGAAATTGTATTATTTATAAGTTAATTTAAAAACTGCATTATGTGCAATTTACATGTTTGCATACAATTTTTTTTTTTTTTTTAAGTTGAGTGTTGATCATCTATTTAAAAATAAATAGCAATTAAATTTAAGTTTGGGTTCAGTTGTTATGCCTAATTGTAACCTTATAATGTAAAAGGTCTCCCTATAGTTTTAAGCATAAGCTGATAAGATTTTTATCACTAAGAAAATTTAAACTATAACTGAATGTATTTAAAGAAAGAGCAACTTGTTCAGTAAACCATAAAAAAAAAGTTTAGTTTTCCCCCCTGCTGTACCGAAATCATACCGAACCGTGACATTAAAACCGAGGTACGTACCGAACTGTCATATTTGTGTACCGTTACACCCCTAGTATGTATATAAGAAACATTTATAAGATCTATGGGTAAAATTATGAATGAAACATTTTTTGCATTTTGCATTAATGATGTTGTATTAGTTTTTTGCATTAAGGAATATTTACCATTAATATATATATATATGGGAATGTCTTAAGGTAAATTTGATATATTGTATGGTGCTTTTTTTGTGCCTGCGTGCATATTATGATGTCCATGGTGAATATTGATGTTTTAATGGGTGCAGGTGTGCACTAATCAATGTGGCACTGAGGAAAAGCTTTTGTCTCAAAAACGTTTTGCACTTCACTTTTTTTTACGGCCTCTGATAAAGCATTAAATAAAATATTTTTTTAGGAGGTGTAAGCCCTGCATATAACCGTGTGCAGATTTTTATTTCTGCTGGCTTAATATAAATTCTATTAATTATTTTTATTTAATTCTTATTATTTATATATTAATTAATATTATTATTTAATTATTTAGAATCTGTTTAATTGATCATTAATTATTAATAATAATTTAATTAATAATGTAAAAAATATTTTCTTTATTTGTATGTATATATATATATATATATATATATATATATATATATATATTATTTAAATATAATTTAAGCTCAGTTTATAA